TAGGTAGATGATCAACATAGCCGTTGGTTGTTACTGCGTCACATCGACACCTCCTTCCACGTGCTCCCGAGATCACATTTCACGGCTCACACCGTTTATTCGTTACTGTGCCACGCCGACCACCTGCTTTAACGAGCTTCCGGCACCACCACCCTACCGTTCACAATTCCAAATCACATGTTTTCTTTCAACACTACTATTTAAGAGCAATCGAAAAAAGCGGATTTTTTTCAAAATAGTAACATCTGTGTCGCGAATGGAAATAATTAACTCAACAACACTAAAAATTCTTATTCATATGGTTTACAATCAAAATCCCTTTAATAGAACACAACAATCCGAGGCGCATTATTTGATCGAGCAAGACAGGTTTTCTCTTTAAATTTACTTCCATCCAAGTTCAAGTTAAAGTTTTCTTATTATTAAAATACAAAGTGTAGATAATGCTACGAATCCTGTCTTCGATGAAATATCGAGTTACTTAACCGACGAAATTTTCATGTCCCATGTCCCATGTCCCACGCTAAAAATTACAACGAGGTTTAATTGAATAGATATCAAGGACATGAAATTACAAACTATTTTTCAGGCAAACTTGCCTGGAAATTTCACGATTTTATCTGTGATTAAACTATCAAATTATATTGAATTATAGTCTAAATCATAGTCGATACCCCCTGGCCTGCACTATACCAATTTTGGCCTGCAGTACATGCAAAAAAGAGGTGCTTATTTTCTGAGCTATCCTTTAAACTGTCAATTTAACTACGTGTTTATTATCTTTCATGTAATTTGTAATTTTAAACACATGACATTTAGGAGTTACGATTTTCTGAAATTTACATAAAATTACATGTAATGTAAAATTGTAATTTATGTAACCCAATCCTAGTTACTGTAGGAAAAATGTAGTGTCTATACCGTATTTTCGCGTAATAACGCCCATGAACGTTATTTCGAATTTTATCCGAATTAAGCTTAATTTATGCCAATATTAGAAATTACCTCTGCGGGTTATTACGTAAAAATACGGCAAGTAAAATTTCACATGGAACATTTCTAATTAGGTATAAAAGGTAGATTTTCTGACTAAAAATTAGAGCTACTGTATTCTTTGTTATAAATATACATATATAAAGTAGTTTGTTTCAATTTTTACGTTATACCTAATCTTTAAATTTCGATTTATCAAAATTACAGTCGTGAACAATTTTTTGTGAGTATGTTAGGGTTCTCCATCTTAACCTGATGGCGGAATTTTTAGGTTGGTAACGCTAGAGCAAATTCAGCGTTACCAACATTCGAGGGTATAGTCACGTGATGACACGACCTGATCTCATTTATACAATACAGCAATAACAACAGAGACAGTAAGTTAATCCCTCTCGCCTGTGATCAATCACAAATTAAATTATTTATGTGGATTCAATTGTGATGGATATAATCCCTCGCCAGTTTATATATGTGTAACATTAATGGTCTCTGCTGTTTGCAGCAATGTAAACAGTCAACTATCTTTATAGCGTAACTTTTTATAGCGAACCTACTCAATAAGAAACTTTTCTTAACAAATTTGTTAGAGTTGGTATAGAAGCATGATAAATTACTTTTATAAAAAACATTTCACTATAGAAAGCTGTATTCGATTCTTTTTTTTTTCTTTTCTATTCGATTTTTCTCTTTTCTATTCATTTTTTAACTCATATTTTGTCACAAAATAAAAGTAACCTCATATGTAAAAACACTATAAACAACACATTATAGTGAAGTCATGCTTAAAAAACTCTCTACAAAACTCTTTATTATATCAAGAGTTCACTATAACAAAAGTGAACTGTATTTGGACAAACATGTCCTTTTGTTACATAAATTGGGAGTATTTTCAAATATTTACAGTCTTTTATAGCTTTTATCGATTTTTAATTTAGTACATGAATGCATATTTGGTAAAGATTTATTAAAGATTTATAATTTTGTTCATTTTTATATAAATCATTTAGATATAGATTAGATAAAATATCTTGCTCTTACTTAGAGATGGGTTTCATGCGCATTTATCCCATCAAGATTTCTCTCCTCTCGAACGTTTTTTCTTTTTTTTTTCATGCGATATCATGCGCATGAAACATTTCGTGCGCATTTCCCCCATAACTAGGTCTAACAATATGCACTACTAAAAGGAAACAAGATTTCAGGCTTTAAATTTCCAAGGCTGAGTCAATTTAATTATAAGTTCAAAAGCTCAGATATAAACAAAAGCTTCGCTTTTATTGCTTTGTACATTTCTTTATATAAGCCACATACTGTGCTTATTGAGCCTTTTAAGGAGTCTTAGACTTCACTTTTCACCAGGGGTTTCGTGATTTCGCCATTTAACCAGGGTTCCATTTTTCGCCGGGCTTAGATTTCGTCTTTCGCCATTTACTTAAAACAATTTCACCTAATAACTATAATTTTCATCCAATAATGCTATAAATGTTAAACTATAATTTTCGTTCATGGTGTATATTTTTAACGATTCTAGAGATTGCTAAGCGATCCTTTCAACTTCAATATAATCTTAACATCAACTAATTGAATACATATAATGATAATGAAACTTATTTTAAGTTTTTTACTAATCCTATTAATTTCAATTGTCGATAAGTCCTTCACGTTTAACATTAATAAAGATTTCATGATTCGTTCTGCAAAGCCGATTGAAAATAAAACATGGGTAAATTGGGATGGTGAAATTCAAATTTCACCAAATGCTATTTTTGAACCATCTAAACTCGAAGACCTTATAGATATTGTAAAATTAGCAAAAGCAAATAATAAAACTATTCGATGTGCTGCTCAAGGGCATACAGAAAGTTCTCTGTCTGTTACAGAGCATTATCTCATAATAGTTACGAATTTAAATCAGATTACAGTGCAAAAACATCCAAAATATGGTTGGACTGTTACTGCCGAAGCAGGTAAATGTTTATACATATACAGTCAAGCCATCTTAAATGCTGATAGCTTGCATTTAGAAAATAATAAGAAAATTGCATTTATGAAAATCTAGTACAGTCAACTCTCTTTAAATGCAAGTCAATGGGCCAGAAATTATAAAAAATTTGCAATTAAAAAGAAACTAACCCAATATATAATTCATTTTCTGAATGCAAGTTATTAAGTTAAAAAATATCTTGTACTTAAGAAAAAACTTGTAATCAAATATATAGTAAGTTGCATTTAGAGAGATTAATTATATATATTTATTGGCTAAAAAAAAAATCTTGCATTTATAAAATAAAGAACTTTATTTAATTTATAAATTCTGATAAGGGACTAAGCTAATTTGTTGCATTTAGAGAGAACTTACATTTAGAGAACATGCACTTAGAGGGAGTTGACTATATATATTTGAGCCAGAGTCAAATATTTAGGGTTGTATTTAGAGAGTTTCATTTAGAGAGGTATCGCATTTATGGAGCTGCATTTAGAGAGGTGTCGCATTTAGGGTGTTGCATTTAGAGAGGTCTGACTGTATATTTAAAAATAGGTACATCATTATCTGAACTTGATAAAGCACTCCGAAATTACGATCCACCATTAACTCTTGATTCTGAGACTTTACCTGACATATTACGAGTAGCCGGTGTTATAGCAGTAGGAGCACATGGAGCAAAGACCAGTTCAGGCATTATGTCTGATCAACTTTACTCTATGAAAATCGTTACTGGGTCTGGTGAAGTATATGAATTTAGTGAAGAAATAAGTAAATCAGAATTCAATGCTGCAAAAGTAAATTTAGGTACCTACTAAGTTTTTACATCTTGATTTTTACTTTTCTTTCATTATCTAATTTTATTATCATTTAGGTTTGCTTGGGATAATCTATTCGTTGACTTTCCGTGTACAACCGATGTACAATCTTCGTATGACAGACATTTATGTTCCAATAAACGAATGGCTTAATCCAAAGAATATCAAAAATCTTTTAGAATCATCTGATGGTATTGAATTATCTTATCAGCCATTCAATGGATTCAATCAGAATGATCCGAATCCTCTTGATCCTAATAGAGATCTACTTTGGGTTAAGAATTGGGTACGAACTGATGAATCTGTGAGCTTCACACAACAACAGATCGAACAATTACATGAAACTCAAAATCAGAACGCTATTAATCAGTATGAGCTCTTAAGTAGTCTCTTGCAAAATCCCGAGGCAACTCCAAATATTACTGCCTCATTATTTTCTGGTAATGGTAATACTAGTTCTGTATTTCAAGCTCCTGATGCTATCCATTTTTTTATCGCCGAATATAAAATCAAGCTTTATTTTATGGAAATTGGGTTTAAAATTGATCCGGATTTTTCCAATGTCGTTACTGAATTTTCTCATGCAATTCAAACAGTAAGTTTATTACTTTATCTAAGATTCTATTTCTAATATTCTTTTAGTTGGTTTTCATTACACTTTTATAATAATAACCTTATTATATTTGTAGCTATATGAATTTGCAAGAAAAGGAAAATTTCCAATAAATTATGTTATAGCTATTAGAATCGTAAAATCTACTGAAGCATTATTATCTACTACTTTCAATAATGATCCAAAAACTTTGTATTGTTATATAAATTTTGCAACAGTTATTGGTACTCCTTACTGGGAAGAATTTACACAATTATTAGCACAGAGATATTTTGATAAATATAAAGCAAAGTAAGGAATTATTAAATTTTTTATTTGCAATGAATTTCATTAACTAATTACAGTATATAAACTCATTTACTATAGACCTCATTGGGCAAAAAAATGGGAATTTATTCCAAATGTGAAAACTTATCTTTCTGAAGTTTTATCAGATCAAATTAAAAAATTCGAGAAAGTACGCGCAAAGTATGATCCTAGTAAAATATTCTTTGATAATAAGTCTTTGCAAGATATATTTAGTCATGCTTTAGGTTCATGAAAAAGTAAAGGCTCAAAAAGAAAAATGAATGTGTGATATTAAGATTGGTTTGTAACTTAACAATATTACTAACATACTAGGAAAAGTGAGGTCCTCGTTGTATAATACTGAATCTCATGTTATTAGTTAAAAGTTAGTCAGAATTAATATTTTATGTAAATTATTAAATTTAGTAAATCAAGAATTTTATAGTGATCTAGCATTTGAAAACATTTGATTCTCTTTCTAAGTTTTTGGCGCTAAGTTATGCATATAAGGTAGCTGCGTGACGTAGTAATGCTAGAAACCAGAAACGAAAGCAAATATAGTAGTTAACAAGTAACGTACAAACAAGAATTGATCTAGCATCTCATTAATATACTGTGAAGCATTTGACATACACTATAGGTAATTGACTCACATAGCTAATTAAACAAAAGTTTACAATGCATTGTGTAATAAATTATCTGGTTATTAGTTAATCAACCCAATAACAAATCCTACGAAAAAAAATGAAACCTGTTAAATATCAGGTAAATAGACAGATCAATCTGTATCGGGTTACCAATTTTGAGTCTAAAATTATTGCTTTTACTATCATTAGTTATCATAACTAGGGCATCGCCTACATTTTCATTTTTTTTTAAAATTCAAATTACTCTGTAATTACATATTTGAATGTACGAGTATATTCATTGATCTATATGCGTGACGAATTCATGTGTGAAAAATAACCAAAATTTGATGAATAGATCATGCGGACCAATCAAACTTAAGATTTTGCGGACAAATCCCACTTCAACAGCATATGATCTTTACACTAATTACATTCGTTCCTTGGTATATCCTAATGCACGTGTATATCAGTTGATCTATACGCGTGATGAATTCATGTGTGAAAAATAACCAAAATTTGATGAATAAATCACGCGAACCAATCAAACTTGAGATTTTGCGGACAAATCCCACTTCAAACGTCATATAAACCATACACTTCGTGATTTCATCATTCCGTTCCTGGTATATTTTCGATCAGTTACGTTTATATTTCTTTGAAATCGATAAAATTCTTAAAATCAATAGAATTACCGATTCCCACATGACATCGTGATGTGCAAAGATCACAAATCGTAATAATTAAATAGTACTTATAAATACATAGGAAGACATTCATATAATTGGCTAATTTTGTAGATCTACCCGTGATTACCCGTGATAGTTAACCAATCAAAT